TGGGATCCCAACTGGTCCACGACTGCAAACCCAGTTTGTCTCACTCCACCGCCGTGCATCTCTTCCAACCTGAAAAGCCAGGTGCTAGAACCAGGTTTGGTGGGGAGTCAGAACAGAAACCAGGCGCAGGGTGACAGATCGTGCACACGGATAGGGCTGACTGTGGGCGGGGGTCCCGCAGGACTCCCCTCACCTCTAGGCAGTCCCTACAGAGTCCCTACAGAGCCTTTGGCAGGGATGGTTCAGCTGGAGGGCGGGGTGGGGGCGCAGGACAGTCGCCCCGTCCCGCAGGTCCAGCAGCTCCGTGGGCTCCGGGCTGCCAAGCTCCCAGCGCAACCTGAGGCGGACGCGGGTTTTTACAAGGTGGCCTCAGGGGCCGCCTCCAGTCGGTGCCAGTTTTCAAAAATTAGAAGAAAACTGACCCGGGGACCAAGCCCGCGCGACCCGCGGAGGGGGGTCACCACAGCCCCGGCCCAGCCTCGGGCTCTGGGTAGGAGGAGGGGAAAAGGTGTGCGTGTCTGCGTCTGTGTGTAGGGTGGTATTTAAGCCCAGGGAGGCGAGGAATGGCCTGATGGGGGGAGGGCGAATGAAACCTTTTAGGTCATTCAAGGTAACCCTCTTCAGGGGCTAGTAACCATTTGGATCCTCAAGACTCATCTCCCTGCACTGAGTCCTATTCAGTGACTGCGGGCGGGAGGGAGTTTGAGATCTAAGTCACACCCTCTGGGCCGGAAGCCTGAGGCCAGAGAGGGGAAGTGATTTCCTCAAGGTCACACAGCAAACAATGCCCAGCCGGGGCCAAAGCTCAGGTGTCTGGCCCACCCTCCACCATCCCCAGAACCCAGCCCCCAACAGCCCTGCGCTGGGTGGGAGGAAGAGGTAGGATGGGGACTGGGTGGCTGGGTTTGGTGGTGAAAGTGCACGGTACACCCTATATCCCCAGATGAGAGTGCAAGCGAGCACTTTCCTGAAGCCTACGATCCAGGAGTCCCTCTTCGGGCGCCTCCTCGGGCGGGGCCGCCCGGGTGGGTGTGAGGAGGGACGAGGGGGCGCGGGGTGCCCGGCACCCGGTTCCACCTCCTGCGGGCTGGGACAGCGCAGTGCTCGCAGTCCCTTTAAGAAAGTTCGCCGGGCGAGTTCATCAAAGTTTAAAAACAGGTGGAGAAGGGAAAGCGGAAAGAAGACAGGGGGAGAGAGGAGGAGGGAGACAAGGGAAAAGCCGCGCCGGAGGCTGGCGCGTCACGGCCGGCCGGGCGAGCCCGCACTGGGCTGCGGGGATTGGCTGCACC